TAATCCATGGAAATCTGCAGAATGGTCAAAATGAGCATCAACTCAGCGAGTTTTCTATGAGGTCTTCTGTGACTCGATATCAACCGTTCTGCCCTGCCGGTGATCGCAGAACTGCATAACGGGCCCGTGGAAAAGAATTAAAGCCGATATGCTCCATACCACATCAACCCTTGCAACCCCAATCTTCATCAACCTTAAACCAGAGGTCCAACTTGAACGGACTATCTTCGGTCGCAGCGTTTTGATGAAGTTTTGAGAACAGCTATCAATCCCACAAAGGCAAGTATTAGACCGATATTCACCATCATTTGGCTTCTTGCCAGCTCATAGCCTGCCCTGCATCTAGAACACGTGTAGGCACAAAGCGCAATTGGACGCCATCACTACTTCGAGTCCTGGCTCTGCCAAGATGAACCAGATGCCTGGATAAGTCTTCATCCCTTAGCTACCCAAGCACTGCGCCTGAAACTGAATGTTTTTGGGTCTAATTTTTTCGGTGGGCCGAAAAGCCTACGGAGGTGCAGTTTGACGACGGGGAGGAGAGGGGGGCATTTTGCACTTTCGCTACTTCCCATCGACGTGTCGACCTATCTAGGCAGCCTCTTCTCGAGTTGACAGGTTTTACCATGATGGCTAGATGAGCTTGCTCCAGCTTCACAAGAGTTCACAGGTTTCGCCAGAGTGAGACTTGTAAACCGGAACTAGGGAAGCAATGATAGTACAAAATGCCCCCTCCCCGTCGTCAAACTGCGCCGCCTACGGACACGTTCCCAACGAAGGTACTCTGGCATTCCATTTCGCTTTGTGCCAAAATGTAAACTTCAATAGGTCATCATCAATGATTGTGGCTATCGATTTCACGCGTACCTTGCAACAGGATTCCATTGAACTTTTCCCTAGTAATAATACTTGCATCATTTCACTTTTCACATCGAAAATCTGTGATTTCATCCTTTCTAACTTTCGTATGTGTATGTACTCCGTGCCCATAAAGGTGGTCTGATAACTTTAGAACTTGTATTACGCGCCAAGTAAACCATATCAAATGGCACAGAAATAAGGATATATGACGCACCAAGTGTGGTCAGCGCACGGCCCCGGGTTTGGAAACGTGTTTGCAGACGGCTAAAAAAATCGAGGAGCACGGGCGAAGCCTCATCGGTTCGAGTGACTTCGTCCGTATTATTAGCGTTGGATACGCCCGCTGAAGGGGAACTTCTGAAGAAGAATCCAAATTTTCAGGCTCGGTGGGGCACTTTGCTGGTGTTCTCCGTCAATGTTATAGGCGACAATCTCTCGAGGGATACTGTAGCCTCTTACGAAAATGCCATGCGAGTCAACACGAGCTTTTTCTCTTCAACAAGAGGTTCAGCACGTACTGAGTAATAGAAAAGGACGAGCTAGGAAAATGGTTTGCCCACCACCCGCTTCCATAGACCAATTGAAGGGCCCGGAATAGGTTCTAATCTGTAGGCGTCGCTAATAAGATCTGACATTTTAGTTAACGCCGTTAATCCAGAGCAACCATTTGTTTACGGAAAACGTCAAGTGACTGATGATATTCTTTGCGCCTTTTGCTTCTTTTTTGGGAAGTATCAATTTCCTGTGACGTCGATTCTGACGTAGTTGGACTTGGATGATTGAGAGAGGAATATGAATTCAATTTTTGAACATAAACTGAACATTTCGGGATTTTCTCGGTCAAAAAATCGAGTCGAGCGTATTGCGTAAAATCCAGCATTGAGTGCAACATTATAGTACTCATTTGTGGCTTAGAAATGTGAAAATTTTCACCTCCAGCTTGCTGCCGTAATTCGAAGAAAAAAGAAACGGAAGGGTAATGAAGAACTCGGGAATAACTCATTGCTTCCGGTTTATTTTGGGCCACTTTCTTGATTCTCACTAGAGAACGAACTCATTGGAGTAATGACAAAAGCATCGCTTCCCAATCTCTACTCTTGAAAGGCACACGCCAAGTTGGAGCGTGAACGGACCTATCTGGGGCGGCATGCGGCTGATCACTGCTGGTGAGATCACCCTTCTGGCCTTCAGCGCTCCTCATTCGCTACCCCGCTCTGCCCAACATCGCGTTTCCTACACCCAGTGCCACATCGCCTCTGAACATCCCCGTTCTAGGAAGACGACCTCTCTTGCCTGCCGCAGTAAATCTCAAATACTGAGATAACAATTTGTGTTTTTTTTTTTTTGAGGCTGGTTTTTGGCGAGTGTGGAGGGTCGCTGTCTCTTAGCAGTTAAATTCATCTATCAAATTAGAGAAATCGCGGAGGGGTATCACATTTCGCATAGTTTACATACACATTCTCCCTCCAGCAACCAGATGTGACCCTCCTCCTCTGGAGAATCCCTGGACCCACGACGTGCTTTGATTGTGAGGCAGTACAAAATTACAAAGACAATTCTTGTTCTAGTGTCAATCCTCGCCATCAGTGCTCCACTTTGACAGTCGAACAAACCCCACATTTATTGCTCCGGGCTAGACTCTAGACCCCCTATAGCAAGATGTGTAGAAAGCTTGGGCGGGGCCGAACCAGGGTTAGACACCCGAGTCGCGCGCGTGGTAAACGGAGCGTTTGCCAGTACACCACTCCATTAATATTTCCAGAACACTTGGAAGCCAGAATACCTGAAGCTTACACTTCGTCTTGCAGATCTGATTAAGTTTGACACTTCACATTTTTGGTGTCGATGTGACAGTTTACATCCATTGCAAACAGGCGTAACCAGTTCCGTTAACAACTATGAGCGTGAGACAACTGATGTGTGACCGACAGACGTCATTCAACCCGATAACAGGATACTTCACGTGACTCATCATTTCTCAAAGAAACAGAGAACGCTCTAAATCTATTACGAATTCGGCGAAATGGTTCACAGTCACCAGGGGGAATATGTATCCATCATGTTTATGTGAGGGTTTTGTCGGACTGCTGAAGTGCAGCGATTACTGAAGGATTCACATTCACATCAAGAATTGCCGAAGTGCTCTTGTCGGCTTCCCTTACAGTAGCCGATCGTGAGACAACTGGAGTGTTCGGCAACGTTCATTTTTTACTACCCCAAAAAGTCAAAAAATTTTTTTGCTGAAACTTTGCCCACAGAGGTAATTCGGTGTCCTGATCACGAATATAGCACTCGTTTTTAGCGCTGGCGCCAAGTTGGCGCCGCCACATTTCTCACCAAATTCGGGTGTAAATTTGCAGGGTTTGATTTTTTTGATTTGTAGGGTTATTTGATGTCCTGATCACGAATACCGAATTAGTTTTCAGCCCTGACGCCATTGGCGCCATTAGGCGCTGATTTGGCGCCACACCCTTTTTTATCAAAATCGATAAACCTGCATAATGGGGTTGTTTGATGCCCTGATCACGAATATGACATTTATTTTTCGACGCCAGCGCCATTTAGCGCTTTTCTAAGGTGAGCCTGGGAGAAAGAGTGATTTCCTTCAGGTCAGGCTCAGCCTTAGCAGAGCGCAGATGATCGCAGCGTCTTCCATCAGCGCCAGCGCCAAAAATGAATGTGATATTTGTAATCAAGATGTCAATAACCTCCGTATACAAGTTTTCAGCGGATTTGGTGACCTAGGTATTTTGGCGACGGCGCCTGTGGGCAGCGCCAGGCGGCTTCAGGCTGAGCGGATGTGATGAATAGTCCGTGTCCAGAAGGTCAAACTTACCCTTGGGACAATTTTCAACGAATTCGGTGATTTAGGATTTTTGGTCGACGGCGCCTGTGCGCAAAAGCCCTGCAACATCGCTAGGCCAAGTGATGTGATATTCGTGTTCCAAGCAGGTCGAATTACCCCCTATAACCCAACTTTCAGGCAAACCTGCTCCCGTAGAAAAAAGTCGATCAATATCCGCCTGTTTCCGGAAAATTGGGGTAGTAATAGTTGAATGGTGCCGAGTGTTCGTATAGTCTCTAGAGCTACAGACGTGTTCTCAAAACGCAATCCACGTTAAGGGATGGACGGACCATGACTCTTACTCCATCCTCATGTCGTGCGCCTCTTACACGGTGTAAAGGCGCCACGCATAAAAAAGCACGATGAGTAACTGTGACCGCCGCCCGCTGATTGATGATCGTGGGACATGTTTTCGAAGGTCAAATTTCGGGCTTTCTAAACGAACCAAATTCTTCGATTCCTTCGAGCAGTTATAGATTAAGTAAGAGTGGGAAGATGGGAATATAGGTGACTCACTACTGTACTAATCCCTATGTCTTTACAAACAGCAGCGCTCATTCGTCCATAATACCTCTGACACTCCAGAAAAAAAATTTCTCAGAAATTGAGGACAGATGAGAACAAGCCTTATGAAGAGCAAATAACAAGGATTGCATTTAAGATGGCCACACCAAGGTTCGAAATTCGAAGGAGATGCAAAAAGAATAGAGACAATGAACATGATCGCAATAAGATTGGGCAACTAGACGCAATAAGAGGGTACCAAATACCCCCCCCCCATAATCCTCAATCCTTTCTAAACACCTCTTCCTTCTACTCACATCCTGCGATAGGGATTAAAGGAGAAAGTTTGAACAGTTGATCAGATCTCTTTTGGAAAGCGGCACCCTCTCCTTCCATACGAAATCGTTATCGTCCTAGTGGAATTGCCCTTGAGTGGACCCATACAGTGACTTGCGGGGCCAGCCGATGCACAAGTAAGTGTTCTCATCCTCCCGGCGAACATCAATTACCGACTCCCAAGAAGAGAAGGACTGGTTCCACTGGGCGAAGAGCACCGGGTTTCACCAAACAAACCGCCGGACGTGGTGACATGACCACTTGGCCACTACACCACCCTCCGCTTACGTCAGTCTGTTTCGAAGAAAACAGTCGATGATTAAGGAGAAAAAGCAGGGAGAACGATGACCCCCTTGGGGGCATTTCTAGGAGTTCCTTCACGACAGGAATGTGAAGGCAGAAGGAAAAAAATCGTACGAGCTGGAAATAGCGCGCACGATTTTTTTGGACACATCTTTCATCTACCCAACCCGCCGAACATTTCAGAGAGCGTAATCGCTGAACCACTTGGCAATGTCATGGAATGCGTTAGAAAAGACGTTTCCTGTCTTGTAGGATGAATGAGCAAAATAACGAAGACTGCACTTGGGACTCAGTATATCTTATCATCTTAATCAGATGATAAACGCCTAATGTATGGTGTAGCGGTAGGTCGGTTTGCAACTCACTACGCTGGTCTGTTCATCCAAAAAATGTTTCCCGAGGGTGAAAAGGAGAGTGACTGGAGAAAGCATTTAGGAAAACTGATTAACAATCGCTCTTGCACTATACCTCTCTTCCTTACCGATGAGGACACAGAGGGGATACAACGAGAGAATAGAGAGATACAACACGTTATCTAATTTCCGTTCCGTCCAAGGACAAGTGTGAAATGGAATTTGAATGACTTGTCCGAATAACCATTTCTCTCCCACTC